AAACTCGATTCTTCTAAAGGTGCTTGGATGCAAAGCAATCTCCTGAGGTGTAAATACAGTGTAAACTTAATCCGGTTTTTAAGGGTACTAACCGTTTGGAACCAGCCAAAATTATCAAAATTGTTCTCCTCCCAGTACTCTCTAATCTGGTGGAGTCGATCACAACTGAGGCCTTATTGGGTATTTGGAAAGATCTAACATCATAGCACCGGTACCACGGCTTCCGTCAACATCAGTCCTTTACTGCCAACTCACTGATTCCACATGACAGTTGAACCGAAACCGCCGATAATGGAACCGGAACCGATGTCATCTAACTCTGTTTATTTAAACATTCGTCTGCATCTTTCTTCAAAATCCTCAAAAGTACGGAGTTGGGAACGCTGTAGTTAGATTAGTCAAAAACCTCCTTCTTCAGAGTGGGCTAAAACTTCGGCTTCGGGCTCATTGTCCTACCGTATTGTGGAGAACTGCAGTGTTCCACATTGATCAGTGTTTTGGCCACGTGCAACCTTGCTGTTCATCCAAGAAATCGCATGCGTCGAATTTTATGTTATATACCGATGACGTTAAGCTATGGCGAGCGTAGAGTAATCGGGAAGATTATGATTCACGGCAAAAGATTTGGACCATGCATTTGAATTGTCGAACACTAATCAACATCCATTCAACTCGGGTCAGTGTGAAGCAATGCATGTACGCCACAATCTAGAAGAACGCCTCACCAGCGCGCGACTTTGGGCAGTTGATGCAAGACGATTTCGGTTGTCCTTAACAGTACTTGAAGATGTTCAAATACTCGAAACAACATGTGGGTATCTTAAGGTTGGACTTTCGCACAGTTCGACCTTTACATATTTCCGTGAATGCACAACGTTTATGTGAGGCCCCATATGGATTAAGTGATTCAGGCCTGGCAACTCTTACCAAAATGCGACTTGGCTGCACGGCAGACACCACAGGGAATAGCAAGCAAAACGGTAAGCGCTTGTCACATCTGTATAAACAACTGCGACTGTAAGCCCCAGGAGTTTACAGCAGAAGTTTTCGCCGTCTATGTGGTGACCTCAGTTTGATCTAGCACATTAATGAGGAAACCTAGTCATGTCTTCAAACACGAACGAATATCTAGCCGCAATAGAAAACTGAGGAGCCACCAGCTGAAACTGGTTACTCTGTACATACAGCTGAATGGCCGCCGAAATTATTCTTCTCCCAGAGTTTGTCGGCTTAGAAACACTCTTCCGATTTTTGTAATTACTGCATCTATGTTGTCCATAAAATACCTCTGAGGATGCAATAAGCTATCTGTACCGCTTGAACTGTATTCTGTTCATCAAGTGACGACAAGTTGCAGACAAACAATGTATTCACCCGCCCCCACGAAGTCAAGATAGAGAGAGCTACATGTGTTAACGTGGATATTATGATTAGTCTACAAATGCGCGTTTCGTTACATTGTTACATCTATTTCAACTTGTGCAAGGCACGCAAACCATCATGACTGCTTCCATCCGCATTATATCGTTGTTCCTTTGTTACCTTGAGCTACTGACAATCGCCTATAATTGAAGCCGTCTCCATCTTGAATCCGCCATATTTCGACTGTTGCAATTGCCAGGATAAGGGAGGTGACATCCGTAAGTGCGCTATGGATTCCCTTCAATTCATCGGTATATTTCTTACGTGGCATTTAACTCTTGAAACCTTATATTGTATGGATGAACACGTCTCCAATGCCTCAACTGGCTTGGGAATTCAACTGGAAATTCCACTCGCGAGCTTCGAGCACGCAGATAGTTATCCAAAGGTATAGTCCAAATGCTTTGCACGCATAGGTGAATATATCGACGCAACAAGCAGTACCCTTGCCTATGTGACACCCACTTGAAAACTGCGGCCATGTGCAGAAGTGCTGGTACGACACTCATCTTGTTCACCGTAGAGAACAGAGCAAGGGAAGTATCTTACTGATTCCCCTCCATCGATTAAGCATATTTGGTATTTGGGTTACCGAGGTTACTATTAGACCAACAAATAAAGCAAGTAGGCAAGATAGTACGGCCGAGGTCACTATCTAGATCCGAGTTACTTCTAACTTGCGCTGATGATGTCAAAAACGTGCGCACAATTGGCAATCAGTACTGTAACTTGCATTGAGCAGGTGTTTCTCGACCACCCAGGTAGTCAACACAGACAAAGTGCAAGTTGGCTTTTCGGTGTAAATTGAAGGAAGATGATCTACTTTAGTTACTCAGTTCAGTCTTTCTCATGAGTACCGACTGCACTGCTTGCTGACAGCAGCACACCTTGTATGCTGTAAGGCAATTGGTGGGAAATGAGTCTGTTTGGTACGCACTTCCGCTTTTTACACGGTGTAATCAAAAAGTTATTTGTGACTGGGCATCCGGTTGCTTACTTGCGTGCACACGGGACATAAGCTTTGGCTTACAGTAGACTGTGTAGGACCAAGTTGGTGTAATGCTATTTAGGTAGTCAACTGGATTCTGTCGCAAACGTAATCATTACGAGAAGATATGAAGGAAAATATCAATGGAATCCGTTCAACTGCTGTGCAAATAGACTTAGAGGTGTATACTTTGATGTTCGGTGTTAGACAGGCTTGGGCTTCACAGTCGCTCACAACTAGATATTTTGACATTCCTGTCTGTCTCGTCACGTGACTGTGTTGGACACACGCACGACAGCTGTGCAGAGCTACATCTCTCACCATTCATGACTATGTCCTTTCATGCGGTTGACCTATTGATCTATGGATCATTTGCAGCCCCTTTGTTCAGATTTGTCAGTTTTCCAATGCAGCTAGTTCCACACGGTGATGTTATTTCTTCCCGTTCGGAGTGGGTTCAGTTACAGTCAGACGTTATACTATTCGGTTTTGCGAACAGCAAATCTTCCCAATCGCAGACAGCAGGATTGCTTTTAATTGCGTTAATCTTTGTGAACTGTGTAAATTGAAATAGCGGATCTTGTCCGTTTTAGCTGAACTCTGTTAGCAGGCGCATGGAGAATGGACTCACCGAGGAGAATGAATAAAAGAGGTGCCGTCATTCAACAGCTACTTGAAGCCTAATAACTCCCTACTAGTTCGACAAAGGTAGATGAGAGTAAAGACATTTCACACAAAATCCATCATGAAAATTACTTTCTTTTCGCTACTATACAATCCTCACTTTTCTTGATTGAGGAAACACGGATTTGTGATCCCTGCTTTGTAAACAAAACATTGCGCTACAGGAGTCTAAATCATCGGTTGAAGCTTAATCTGACTAACCAATTGCGCGCAAGTTTGAAAGTTACATGTCAGTTTGTATAGTGGATGATAGCCAATTAAACTGACATGCTTGGCAGAAAATGGTTCCGGACATGCCTGTCACTGCGGCCTCCACAGAACGTCTGCGCTTACAGAGGGACCATGGCTGGTTTGCGCTGCAGTACCCACAGTTCCATCCACACACCCCAAATCGGGTATAAACCTGAAGGAATAAATCCAGGAGACATGAGGATTGGAGCTACGTTTCATCAACGGAACCGGCCCACACTCCGTTAACATGCACAGCAGCAGTATTCCTGTTTATCTACCTTGGGAATCATGTGCACCAAATGTACACAAGGGGCTGGCTGGACCGTAGTTCGCGCCACACTGGATGTATGGAACCTCTCTTTGAGTCTAGCAAGAGACGAGAACCGTGCACTCCATCCCCCAACAAAGATCAACAGTTGCATGGAGCCAGTAATCTAGGTGGCGTGTTAGACAGGTGGGCACCGTGTGAACATTCACATCAAACGCAGCTACACCGGGGATATCAAACAGCTAACACAGAATTCGAAGAAAAATTAACACGAAAACTGGACATGAAAAAACGCAGCAGTATAACAAAAGTGGGCAAGTCAAACAACGTTGAATATTTTTTATCTAGCTTAAGTGATCTAGCATAAATGAGATTAAAGTATAAAACAGTTAGTTCCCTTCAATAGTTTAAATAACACAGTGAGAAGTTGAACTCTGGCAGCTGCGCGAATTTCGTATGGTCTCATCAGTGCCAAAACAATAACGGGGAATTCTTCTACCTTTCAAAGGGTGTTACCAACCAATCAAATGTAGTGAGGTGAATGGCGGCGATGGTCCTTGGACCAGGGCAACTGAAAGTTAACTAAGGATTGTTTCTACACACACGGAATGAAGGCGGACCTGTAAGCGTGCGTTCTGTTCGTAATTCTTAGCCATGCACATGATTCTCATGGGCCATATTTCTGTAGGTAAGCATATTCGAATACAACTAAACACATAGATGTAATACCTCGCTGGACGGAGCTGGTCTCGATGTCCAAAGTACTAGAAGGTTACGCTACACACAGCTGCTTTCGGTTCGTACAGGCTGTCCTAATGAACGGTTGTCGGTAAGTGTTATGTGTTCAAAACATATTTTTTGTCTGCCTGAAGCTGGTTTGGGCAAAATAAGTCCACTTACATTATTTAGACAACACTTCAACCCTTGTTTATTATACCTACCGCAAAATTTTAACAGTTATTTTCCGTAGTTCCGAAATATAAAATCATCGCATGTTCTCAATTACGTGCTCCCACTAGTATGCTTTATTCATCATATCAACTTTTAGTTTGTATCTTTTGTTATTGTCACAAATCAAAAATTACGTTAACAGGGACCAGTCCAGATTAAAGCTTTTATTCATTTTTAAACAAACTTAGCCTGCCATTCTGACACCAATTTGCCCAAGGGGGTATGATGCTCCGCAACACGTGACATTTCTGCCAGGAGAGCACGAACACTCTGGGATAAGTCTGCAATTACGACTGAATTGACAGCTACGGGTTATACATCTGTCACAGTTTTATCGGCTAAAACTCAAGGACGTCTGCTATGACAGATCCAGCCAGTTACAATAGGGTGGCTGATTTACCTAGGTGAGGTGTCATCAGTTGCAATCTCAGTAATGTTACATAATTGGCAACTTACGATATTTGACTTGAACCTTTGCGATATCGTAGGTGCTGTTTGCAGTCACAGGAGTTGTTAATAAACGTTTCACTTCGTTAAGTTTTATTCGTTTTCTCGAAGGGAATTGAACGCTAAAATCACCCCACAGACCGCTATTAGGCGGACGAGTCACTGCACAATTGGGTTGCCCGTTGCGCATGAATCTGGAGGCACTCGAACGAAACTTGCGCTGTGAAAAGAGAGAGGTTTGATAAAAATCTATCCTAATTTTTATTACTCACAGCGGCATGTATAAGAATGATAAGCAACTTTAATCACCCAGACTGCATTCTATCATTATCTAAACTCTCATAGCTAAATAACCGTTGCTCCGAATTTAACACTGGGATCAGCCGTATATGAAGGTTTCGAGTCACGTTAGCTAACAACTTACTTTAACTGCAATATGCTGAACCAAAACAACACACCTCGTTACATAGTTGGAGATACATTATTCCCATTGCCTAAGTGCAGTCAGCTTAGAATGGGTTTCATTTCATAACGAGCAACGTAAAAGTCGTCTCGTTGGTATATTGCAATCAAGTAATGAACTCGAATGAACACTAGTTTGATGATTAAGTCCTCATCAGGCTATGTGGAAGCGTATAAAAATGAAAGCCGAGTAACCATTTCGATACGTTACACATTCCTGAGCTGCCGCAGACCCTACATCCACATGGTTACATAAGAGGCCAACGGACCACAGGATAAGGGCTTATTGCCCGTCGTCGGAAGTCTGACGAGTTTGAGTGCTACGGTTGGTGAAATGCAACCAGCTGAGTGAATTATTGTTGCTGCAAGCATGATTGCATCTAGGTGAATAACCCAGACAAACTAATGGTTCCTAAACAACAATTTCTATCGTCTCTGCCACAGTAGTCCATCGCGGAAAGGCTACTTCTACAACAGTGAGCTCTCTTCGCTACGTTACCCTGTGGGTTCGGTGGGGAGAAGTGGGGGAGAAGTGGAAGTCCACCACAGCAAGCAGTCTGCTATTACGATGGTTTAGAATTTCCAAGCATATCATGCAACCTGTGTTGTATGGTAAGATTCTACCACAATTGTTGGTTATCATTCAGGCTAGATAGGTCAGACATTATAACATTTGGCGAGCAAATGCTTCCTATTTTTGTCGATTACCGTAACACCTACTAAAAAGTAGTTACATCGTAGATATCTTGTGAGAAATATTTTGAAGATGCTGAGGTTTCGCATTTAAAATAATACAAAAAGCTGAAGTATTTAATTTGAAATGGTGCCAAGTCATACCTAAATCGGATATGGTTGGCGCCATCCGGTTTCGGATTTGCCTGTCAGGGTGGCCTCCATAGGATAGTCACAGGACGTTTGCGCCTACAGAGGGACGGTGAGTGGCTTGCGCTACACCACCCACAGCTCCAACCACACACGCCATATCCAGTGTCAGCTCGAAGGAATATGACAGGGAGGCAGGTGGATGGGAACCACTTTTCATCAACGAAACAGGCCCACACTTCTTCACAGGCAAACACATGCACGCTGTATTTAGGAATCAAGCGCACACAAGGCGGTGGCTGGACCATAGTCCACTCCACACTGAGTGCATGGAACCACTCTTCGAGCCTAGCACGACCACAAGGACCGTGCACCCCGTCCCCTCCAGCAACGACCAACTGTCTCCTGGACCCAGTATGGACGAGGAAGTGGGTAATAGACGGGTAGGCACCTTGTCAACATGCACATCAAGCCACGCCAGGGATGTCAAACAACACCTAATAACTTGAAACGACGGTATCAAAGAAAATAAAGCGAATAATGCATACAGATAAGGAGACATAACTCTTCACTAAATGAGCGCATAAAATAAATTGGTTACTAACAAATCTGCAATAAGTTCAATACGTCAGAAAAGATGTTTTCAGAAAGTGCCACTAAGGTGAAAATGTTATCGAAGTTAACTACAATTAGCTTAAGCGACTTGTGCAAGTTTATAGAAGATAGTTCAAATTACCATGAATATAAAAAAGCATTATGACAATATAGTGAACTCATCAGCTGATATAAGGAGACTCAACAGGCAAGCCTGCGGTTAGTAAATCGAATGCCGCGTACCAACAAACTCTGCCCGGTTCTACCTACGTTCACTACAGGACCCGTCGTCGCTTCAGTGGTGACCCCGGGTGACCTCGCTCATGGCTCACTGGGCCTGTCTAACTAAGGCCCTCGTGACCGCATATGCTACAGTACCATTCGCTCGATGTCAATTAAGTACTACCAATCGATGCTTGCCGCTGCTGCACTTGCTGCTTCTTTTCCGCATACATGAAGATTTTCAACCGCACCTCGGCAACTGCTTTCGTGATCAGATCGCGCCATGCACGCCGATAAGCCGCTTTCGATTCCCATGCTCCTGAATCAAGACCAGAACGTGAGAGGCTCAATTTGATAAAGCCCAAGAAACGAAGATTCAGTTTCCCTACATGCCGCTTTCCAATACTCAGCTGACCATACAATAGTTGTTTCGGGATCCTCGTCGAATCCATAGGGCTCACATGATCGAACCACCTCAGGTGTCTCAGTAAAAGTATGCTGCTATTTGCATACATTCCACTTTGACGTAACATCTCTGTGGCTACGACTCTGTCGCACCAACTGAGGCGCAGCATCCGTCGCAAGCACTGTTGATGGAATCGCCCGAGGTATCTCACATCCCGCCAGCATATCGTCTACGTTTCACTTCCGTATAGAAGAAGGCACAGCGCCATGGATTTGTATACCATCAACTTCGCGTCAACGGTAGGCTGATGGTTGTTCCACACCTGGTACGCTAGGTTTCCGACTGACGCTGCTGCCCTTGAGATGCGGATACGAAGCTCACTGTGAAGCTGCTGGTAAGTCGACATCACACTCTTAAGGTAGCATAAGTGGAAGATATTTTCCAGTACTTGAGCATCAATTCCGCTTCTCGGTAATAGTGAAGTTTGCACCTCCGGTGACGGCTGAAAGAGGCAGACAGTTTTGCGTGTGTTTATGGTGAGTCCGAATTTGGCCGCTGTCGAAGCCAGAGCACTCGTCATGTGCTGCAACTCATCTGCGCTGTGTGCAAACAACGCACAGTCGTCAGCGAACAACAACATACGGGTAGTTCTCTCACAGACTGCGGTTCTCACCCCGAATCAACGGATGTTCAGCAATCCACCAACAATACGGTGCTCCACACGAACATCGTAAGCATAAGCGGTATCAAAAGCACAAGACATGATGGCATGAAGATAAATATTAAACAAGACAGGAACTAAGACACAGCCTTGCTTCACACCAGTGACCACTGTAATTCATTCGAGGTCTCTCCACTCAGCTGCACCCTCGCTCGCATACCACCGTGCAGACATTCAATCAAAGTTACAAACTTATGTGGACAATCGAATTTACCCAATACCAGTCGTAATGCATCCCGGGTCACCGTGGCAAAAGCCTTGGTGAAATCAACAAAAAGCGAGTACAAAGCCTGGTGTCAATCTCTACACTTCTCCTGCAAATGATGAGCCGTAAACTCCGTATCTATAGTGCTGCGATCCGAACGGAATTCACCCTGCGCTTCCGTCACGTTCGGTTCTACAATCTGACTAACGAGGCGGTGAAGCAGGATTCGGGCAATCAAGTTGCCTTCACACCTCAGCAAGTTGATGCCACATCATCATCATCATCATCATTATACATGTCAGCTAGAGATGGTAAAACACCTCCGCTATTGTACCGCAATACATAAAGGAAATACATACATACATACAATACATAAAGGAAAAATAAATACGACAGTTGAATGCCAGCTGAGCTACCAGCAACGGATACGCATCGTTCCGGTAAGCTACTAGCCGGCTACTAGGCAAAACCAAAAATTTAATTACGTTTTACCCTACGAAATAAGATCGTAGATGGAGGGGGAGGCTAAAGGGATGGGGAGGGACAAAGAAACTCACAGCACGAACGCCACTGAGGTCGGCTCCTTGCCATATCAGCAAGTGTATCCAGCCAAACGTGTTCACCGTCTTTTGGACCCCAACCAGGGAGCCGTGAAGCTCCAACTGAGGCCAGCTCCGAAGTGAGGGCCTTCATTCCTCTGGACCAAGTCATCGCTTGGCCACCTCTCCTCTTCTTCCACCCACATCCCCGGTGAGCAAACAACGCACGTCGAGGGAGTCGGTGGGCTGGCATGCGCAACACGTGGCCCAGCCATCGGAGCCTGGTGAGTGAAATGACGGTGCTGAGCGGTTCATTCCCTTTTCCTAGGCCGTAAACAAGGCGTCGAACACGCTCGTTACTCACGCGGTGTTCCCACCAGATGTGAGCCAAACTGCGAAGGCACCGATGGTCGAACGTAAGTAGCCTCTTCATGTCCGCCGATCTTAGGGGCCAGGTTTCGCAACCGTACAGTAAGGTCGAACGTACCGCTGCATTGTACACTCTACCCTTCAGGGCGAGAGTAATGTCGCGCCGTCGCCATAGGTGGCGAAGGTTAGCAAAAGCACTTCGAGCTTTCGCTATGCGGTTCGTGATCTCGTCTTCGATCCCAAGGGCGCCGATACAACTTCCCAGGTAATTGAATTTCTGAACGACTTCTAGCTGATCCCCACCAAGGGTCAGCACAGGGGGCGAACCCTGCCAATCCTGGAGGAACGCTTTGCACTTCGGTGGTGCAAAGCAAAGCCCGAAGCGACTGACAGCCAGTGCTAATCTGTCCAGCGCGGATTGACACGTCTGGGAGCTGTCACAGATGAGGGCAATGTCGTCTGCATACTCTAAGTCAAGAAGTCGTTCTCCTGGGAGTAGCTCCACACCTTCCAAGTCATGTCCTGTAAATGCAATCTCCATGACTTCGTCAATAGCGAAGTTGAATAGGAAAGGTGACAGCGGGCATCCTTGTCTCACACCGCTGGAGATATTGAAGGGTGGCGACAGCCTGCTGTAAGCCCTTACTCTGCCCGTGCTACGCGCATATAATGCTCGGATAATATTTACATATTTCTCGGGCACACCTTTCCTGAGTAGACAATTCCAAAGGGCACATCGATCAACCGAATCGAAGGCACCTTTGATGTCGAGGAACACGACTACGGTGGGCCGCCAATATGTGTGACGGTGCTCCAACAACTGACGCAAGGTGAAGATGTGGTCGATGCAGCCACGACCCCGACGAAACCCGGCTTGCTC